GAGGCTGAGGTGAGTGGATTGCCTGAGCCCGCTGGTTTGAGACCTGCCTGGGCAACTTGGAGAGACCTCATTTCTACAGTAAATCAAAAATTAGTCGGAGGTAGCGTGCGCCTGTAGTTTCAGCTACTTGGACGGCTGAAGCAGAAGGATCACCGGAGGTCAGCAGGTCGATGCTGGGGTGGCCATGAGTGTGCCATGGCACTTCAGCCTGGGCGATGGAGTGAGACTCCAGCTCAAAAAAAAAAAAGATGATACCCATGATCTTCCACCCTGGTGATACTCTCATATGGACATTATATCATATGGCAAAAGGGGATTTTCCAGATAGGCCTCATCTCATAACTGGAGCCCTTTAAAGCAGAGTTTGTTCCTGTTGGTAGCCGAAAGGGATATAAAAAAGGTTTGAATCATAAGGACTCAATGTGTGGTTTGGAGGTGGAGAGGGCAGTGTGGAAACGAGCGTGGAGGCCCTGAAGGTGCTGAAAGAGACCCCTGGCTGATTGCCAGTAAGTAGAAAGGGACCTCAGTCCTACAGCTGCAGGAAATTCTATTCTGCCAACAAACTGAGAGAGTTTGAAAGGGGACCATCCCCAGGGCATTCAGAAGAGCACCCAGCCAGGTCCATACTTGGATTTTATCCTTGTAAGAATCTAAACAGGACAGCTCTGGCAAGCCTGCCCTGAATTCTGACCTACAGAACTGTGAACTCACAAAGGGTATTAGTTCACCCCACTCAATGTATAGTCATTTGTTATACAACAATAGATAACTAATACATCCACTTAGAAAAAGCTCAGGCTATTATTTATATCTGAAAGAACTATGAGCATAAGGAGAAATTTAGAAACGAAACATGAAATTATTGTTAAGTAATATAAAAAGCATTGGCCAGAACTTATTTTCGATACTTGTCTTCTAGACATTTCTGTGAAAGACTAAGGTGTGTAAATATATAATATAATACTTTGCTTTTCATGTGAAATATTAACATTAGAAAGTAAATAGCTGATGGGATCAAGTTCCCACTTATCATATTGTTATCTTTGTCCCTCGCTACCAAGTAGAAGGCTCCAGAGAACTAGAGTAATGAAGGGAAAAGAAAATGGTTGTGACCATAATTTAGAGAAATAAAGAAAAAGGTTCTAAAATCTCAGAAAACTTCCACTCCTATGATTCCAAGTAGGGAAAGGCAAAGTACGTTCTAGAAGATGCTGCAATGCTTCAGGTGATGATGGTTGGTGGCCTTCGACCTTTTTCTACCATAATCACTCTCTTTTCTTTTCTCTTCCTCCTAGGCTCTCCTTTTAAAAATGACTTCCTTGCTTTTGCCTTATTATATCTTCATGAAGAATCCACAAAATAGTGGGAAGGACCTCAGAATGGACCAGAAAGATTTGAATTCAAATTCCAGCTTTGCAACTTACTTCCTATAAGGCCTTGAACAAGTTGTTTGACCTTAGTTTCCTCATAATTACTGTGAAGATTTCAGATGACCTGAACAATTCCAGCTGCATGATAATTAATCATGATTATTATTATGCAACTATAATAACTAATTATAATATTATGATTGATGTTCATTCCCTTTGGCAGTTTGTTGCTACCAGTGATCATTCTCACACATTGTCCAGTACTTAGCTTTTCCCCCACTGTCTGGAAATCTCCTCACCAACCTAACAAAATAGACAAGGCAAGCATTTTTATTCTCCAGTTCACAAATGAGTAGCTGAAGCTCAGGGAGATTGAATGACTTAACCCTGAGAAACAGCAAAACAGAAAAACAAACACATCTGGTTGTCTCCAAACTGGGTTTTCTTCTGCTCACTGGTGAGCATGAGACACACCAATGTGGTGCTTCAAACTCAAAGAATTTCTTATCTTGCAGCGTGTCACACTCAGGCTTTGATTTAAGATGAGGAATGATTTGCGTACTCACAGGACTAGGGCTCCTGCTGGCTACAGTAGGCAGGGCAACAGGTAGTGCTGCAGGGGCAGGAGGGGTTACCAAAATGTCACCAACTGGGTCTCGAGCAACAAGCATCCTGACAGAATTCCCACAGTTCCTTAGAACGTGTGCTACTTGTTCACTGGTCATCCCCTGGACATTTGTGCCACCAATCTTCAAGATGTGGTCCCCTGTCTGGAGTCTTCCATCCTTCAATCCAAGAAAAAGACAAAATTATTTCATTAAATCAGTGATCTAACTTCGTAGTTAATAACAGTTTATCAGACTGACAAAATGATTGACAAAGAAGCCACCAAAAATGCTGAATAAAATACAGTATTTTAAATGATTAGCTGAATTGATGAAAGAGTAATGGAATTCCTTGAAGAACACAAAAGATAGAAAAGCTCAAAATAGGAAAAGGAACCAGTATTCTAAAACAGGCTGTTGATTGAGTGTGTAACGCATGCCTGATGGCCAAGAGATGACTTATTAATGGCCATGGATGCATGGAAGAAGTCAGAAAGCCCTGGATCTCAAAAAGGGAAGGAGGTCAGAACAGAAGCTTTCTACATAAAGCTATGAACCCCAAAGGCCAACATCCTCAGTGGCATGTCTGAGAAACAGAAAGATGGCAATGTGGCTAGAACAAAATGAGGAAAGGGGAAAGTAGTTAAAGAAAAGAGACCCAGGAGTGGTGGGTCAGCCTGTAATCCCAGCACTTGGGGAGGCTGAGGTGAGAGGACTGCCTGAGCCTGGGGATTCAAGACAAGCGTAAGCAATTTGGGGAGACCTCGTCTTTGCAATAAATCACAAAAAACTAGCCGGGCATGGTGGTGTGTGTCTATAGTTCCAGCTACTTGGAAGGCTGAGGTGAAAGGATCACCTAAGCCCAGCAGGTCAAGGCTGCAATGGCTGTGAGCGTGCCACTGCACTCTAGCCTGGGCAACAAAGAATGAGACTCCAACTCAAGAGAGAGAGACAGAGAGAGAGAGGAGAGAGGGTAATGGGGTCAGAAAGTATAGGGCATTTTCTCTACGTGATTGGGAAGAAAAGTCATTGAACAGAATTTCGAACGGAGGAATGACATTATCTGACTTACTTTTAACGATATCATTCAATCTTCTGTGCTTAAAATAGACTATAGAAGAAGAAACAATAGAAGCAGAGATCCAGTTGGGAGAACTTAGTAATAATCCAGAAAAAGATAACAATAGCTTGAACTAGGTTAGCAGTTGGGGTGTTGAGAAGTGAGATGCTAGATACAGTTGTCAACAGCCGGGCTCAGTGGCTCAGCCTGCAATCCCGCGCCTTTGGGAGGCTGAGGTGAGTGGATTGCCTGAGCCCGCGGGTTCGAGACCCGCCTGGGCAGGCGAGATCTCATCTCTACAATAAAATAAAAAATCAGCTGGGCGTGGTAGCGCGCACCTGTAATTCCGGCTACTGGGAAGGCTGAGGCGGAAGGATCACCGGAGCCCAGCAGGTCAAGGCTGCGGTGACCGGGAGTGGCCACTGCACTCCAGTCTGGGCGACAGAATGAGACTCCAACTCAAAAAAAAAAAAAAACTCTCAACAGATAGCTTCTATATGGGATATGGGAGGGAAAAGAAGGAATCAAAACTCCAGGATTTTAGCCTGAGCAACTGGAAAGAGAGAGTGGCCATGAACTGAGATAAAGAATATTACAGGCCAGGTGAGGTGGCTCACACCTATAATCCCAACACTTTGGGAGGCCAAGGTGAGAGGATTGCCTGAGCCAATGGGTTCGAGACCAGCCTGGCAAACTTGGTGAGATCTCATCTCTACAATAAATAAAAAAATTATCCAGGCATGGTGGCAGGTGCCTTTAATTCTGGCTACTTGGAAGCCTGAGGTGGAAGGTTCAACAGAGCCCAGAAGATCAAGGCTATGGTGGGCATGAGCATGCTACTGCACTCTAGCCTGGGAGACAGAGTGAGACTCTGACTCAAAATAATAATAATAAATACTATAAGCCGGGCTTGGTGGCTTAGCCTGTAATCCCGCGCCTTTGGGAGGCTGAGGTGAGTGGATTGCCTGAGCCC